GAGCGTGTTCATTGTGCGTCGCGTTGCGTGAGTAACTCGCGATGCTCTTTTAAACTGTGAGACTCTGAACCGTAGTACCAAGGGATGTATGTTTTGGGGTTAATGGGGGACATTGCGGGGTAGAAAGAGGGTAAGTGCGGGATTTAGGGGTGTCTTATTTGTAGTCACACACATGATGGGGCTTTTACATAAAATTAAACGATGCAATGACTTTAGTGTCCTGTGCGATGCCGAGTACATTGCACTGCGTTTCAGACATTCAAAAGTCACTCCTGCAAAGTGCACGTGCCCGTGGCATAGTTGGCTCGTAATGGTGGAATGCAATCATTTCGGCTAGACGTAGTTGAAAACATTGGCCGTTGAAAGTTCCAAGAAAGAGCAAAATTCCAACGGCAAATGGTTGGCAGGATTGAACAATTTAGTATCCGCGATTTGGAGCGGGAGGAGTTGAGTGCAGCCTTCCCACGGAACGTAGAGAGAGCCCGGCTCTGCTCCGCGTGGATCCACGAAATTCCGCAGCCCCCCTGCTGCGGTGCCAGCTCGCTCGATGGTCGAGACACCGGTCAGGCCAGCCGGGCTGCAGACCACCCCAGCGCGTCCGATGCAGCCCGGGCCGCCTCGTGTCGGCATGTCCCGGCGCTCACCGCGCGCGCGAACTCCCCAACGGCAGCCGCAATGCCCCTTTGGCGGACGAGCAGCGAGTGCGAGGCCCACATCTCTCCAGCGGAGGACGGCGGCGGCGGCCTCTGCGCGTGTCGGAGCCGGAATGGACTGGCTTGCGGCGCGGCGCCGGTCACGCGGCGGCCGCGCGCCGCGGTCGCGCCACGCCGGCGCGCGCCGGGGGAGCGGGCCGGCCCGCCGCGCCCGGCCGTCGCCCGGAACCATCGGGTAATTTGGCGTGCGGACCGGCGGCGTGAGGCGTGACAGGCTCGGACGCCGGTGGCGACGGCCGGGGACGGGACGGGGCTCCGGCGACGCCGCGTGGACGCGGCGGACAGGCGCCGTCTCCGCGGCCGGCGGGTCCGCTGTTGGACGGGGCACGCCCCGCTCAGACTGCGTGGTGGGTACGGACCGCACTGTGGAACGGTTTTGACAGCGTGGTGCAGCCCAGAGTTCCCTCCCCACCCCACCCACACCCCCACCCCCACCCACGCCCCCACCCCGCCGCGTGAGTGGCACGACACGCAACCGCTTTGCACGGCGCAGCGAAGGGCCAGCGCTTTGTGAGCGGATGGCGCCTAGATACCGGCCAGCGCTGCGGCGGGTCCTGCGCGTACTCGGCCGCTGTCGCTGGACTGGCGACGGTGCGACTGCGGCGGAGACAGCGCGGCTGCGGCGGGGACGGCGCGGCTGCGGCGGGGACGGCGCGGCGCTCGTCGGACCGGCGCCCCCTGCCGGGCGTCTCGTGACGCCCACCTGAACCAGCCGGCTGAGTCACCGGCGTGACGCCAGCGGGCGGCGGCCGGTGACGTCACGCCGGGCCGGGCCGTCGGTCGGGCCACGCAGGAACCGGTCTGAGCGGTTGCTGCTGACGGCTGGCGCGGCTCAGCGCCGCCGAGGAAGGCCGCCGAGGCGCCTGGTCGACCAGCCGAAAACCGCAGACGGCTTTTACTTTTGCCGGTACGTTATGCAGACGGTGTGTTTGCCGTTATGTAAGCACGTGGTGAGCTCGACTTACTGTTTCCTGTAAATGCAACGCGTGTTAAAGCGTCTTACAAACGATCAGAAGTAATATTTTCAGGCACTAGAGCTGTCCAACGGTGCAGCGGGCGTAGTCATTTTGCTTGGCACGCGCGAAACTGCTCGGACTGGACGTTATTAAGCTCATGGGACATACCAGCTCGGATGCCGCGCCGCTGCGACGGGCGGCCGTGGCCTGCTGTGCTACCCTGCTGCAGAGCGCGGCCGCGTCCTTCCCTGTGCGCCGCTGCGGGAGGACAGGCCGCAGCCTGTGCTGCGCCGCTGCGACGGGCGGCCGTGGCCTGCTGTGCTGCTCTGTTGCAGAGCGCGGCCGTGGCCTTCCCTGCGCTCCGCCGCTGCGGGAGGACGGGCCGCAGCCTGTGGACGGCGCTGCTCGACCTTCCCTGTCACGGTCGGCTGACACGCACGGTGGGCCTGCCTGTTCCAGGAACGGCCGGCCTGTCAGGCGACAAGGGGCCGGCAGTACTGGGAGTGCTGCCATGACCAACCCTCATGGCAAAGGGTGGAGAACGCCAGGCAGTGTGCGTGTTGCAAGGGTGTCGGGACGAACGACTCGCTAAGCGGAGGGGTCAGCGTTTGTGCCGATTTTCAAGGCGGGTGGTTCGGCCGCTGTCACACCGGCCCTGTCGCAGCTCCCTCCCATGCTCAGGACGACTTCGGGCAGCCGGTCGGCGGACGCGGCGCGCAGACAGGCAGTTGGTGCGCGTTTGTGGCGGCGGCGGCGCCGTTTTTGTCCGCTGCCGCTTCACGCATGACTGGGTGGTCAGTCGGCTTCCGCTGCCTCTGTTTTTCTCGCCGGCGTCCTCAGTGGCAGACGACGCGCGCACTTTGCCCCGAAGCTCTCGGGCGCTGCCTGGTGTTGGCGGTGGTGTTGGTTTTGGGGTCAGTGACAGCTACAAGCGCACGTGCTAGTGCTCTTCCACCGGCGATTCTGTGGGTTGCCAAATGACGCTAGCGCACAGCGCACAAAAACCTGCCATGGCCATCTCGTGATCATTGGGGCAGGCATTGCTGCAGTTCATGGGTTTCCTCCGTTGATGGTTTAAGCCGTCGCCCCAAGGTTCCGGCGGGCTGGAGGAGATTTGGCGGTTTGAATCTGAATGCATCGACGTAGCCTCATCGGGGCGCTGGTGAGGAGTGAACTCTTGGGAAAGTGGATCCAGATCTCCGTAAATCAGGTGGTGCTGGCCTTAATGCGACGCGCATAAGTGGGGATGAGCAGCTTCCCCTCAAATCGTGCTGTCTGTGCCGCACAGTATGCGCTCTTCGGAACCGAAGTTTGAGAAGCACCGCGCGGATTACACGCTTGACTCCACACCACCCGACTGACGAGCATTTTTGGTCCCGCCAAGCTCGGTGCTGTAGTATTGCGCATGCGCGCTGGCCTGCGTCATGGTGACTGGTTGGTTGATGGCATGCCGACTCGTGGTTGGTGACATGGTGACTTCCGGCGGTTGGGTGGCACGACGGCCGTGACCTGCCCCGTGCCGCCACCGGCTGGCGGGAGCGACGGGTCAGCTATCTCAGTGCGGCGACCGGTGGGGCTTAACGCGGTTGACACTGGTGACCGGCGGCTACGCGCTCTACCACAGAGCAGGGCTGAGCACTGTTGGGAACACTGAGGCTGAGGCTGAGGCTGAGGCTGAGGCTGAGGCTGAGGCTGAGGCTGAGGCTGAGGCTGAGGCTGAGGCTGAGGCTGAGGCCAAGGCTGAGGCTGAGGCGGCTAAGGCTGAGGCTGGAGCGGACGGCACTTCCGCCATGCCGCGCCGCTGCTGCCGGCGGCGGGGAAGGCCGGCCAACCACCGCGATGGGACAGGGGGACTGGGACAGAGAGAACGGAGGACTGAGGACAGAGAGAACTGCTAACAGAGGACCATGGACGAAGAGGACTGGAACAGGAACGACTGGGGACGGACAGGATGTGGGGCAGGGACAGAGCAGGGATCATTGCGAGCAGGGAGGACGGAAACAACCGCGAACATCGAGGCAGAGAACAGGGAGGACGGAGCACAGAACGAAGGGCGGGGAACAGAGAGAACTGCGAACAGACGGGACTTACGACAGGAAAGGCGGAGCACAAAGGAGGCGGGGTCGTTGTCCTCACGTGCGTTCCGGACATGCTAATGATATGCGAGCTATTTGCGGGCGGGCTAATTGTAATCAGATCATAAGCGGTGCGGTCAGGGGGGGGGGGCTGCCTGCGACACAGATGCGTACAAAGGGGAGGAGGGCTGGCCCTAGGCTCGTTAGTACCGAGAGGCGGCTGCACAGAAGCCGCCTCGGTGCTTCTGTGCGGCCGCCTTGTGATGCGTTTGCAGGGATGATGGATACAGGGATGATGGATTGCCGGGATGATGGATTGCAGGGACACGCCAGTCCTGTCTAATTGGCAAGTTACCAGAACTCTACCGTCCTGTTTATGGAACGGCCCTATATTTTTAATAGAAAGATGTCTGCCGATTAGCTTGCAACGGCACGGTCGGCGAAATCATGATGTCGTTATGTTTATCACTGGTGCATATTTCTGAAAGTGGTAGCTTATAGATGTGCTAGGCCTGTCATTTAAGTGGGGTTGTGTGGTTATTGCAGAGATGATGTTGCCTGCTCCCTGCAGCCCACGTATGTGCGAAAGCGACCATCTATGAGGCTGAAGCGCTTCCCAAGTTGTGAGCGTAATTAAGTTGACATCCGAGCTGTGGGCCCAGCTTGATCAGCGAGTGACGTGCGCTGGATGGCTCGTCCCTTTTTCGTGCTTTATCTAGCGCGCAGGAAATTTGAAGCTTTCGCTAATCCTCTTTCGTTCGCAGTTCTTGTTAATCCGCTTTCGCCCGTAGTTTTTTAAAGTGTGTTTCCCATCTTCATATTCTTACCGTGGCCTGGTCGGGTCTGACAAGTCTGGTCTTTCCGATCCGGTTTGACTTGGCTGACCTGACATGGCCTGGTCCGTCATATCCTGGCCTGACCTGACCTGGTCTGGCCTGGCCTGGCCTGGCCCGGCCCGGCCCGGCCCGGCCTGGCCCGACCTGACCTGGCCTGGTCCGGCCTGGCGTGTTCTGGTCTGGTCTGGCCTGGCCTGGCCTGGCCTGGCCTGGCCTGGCCTGTCTCGGTCTGGTCTGATCTGCCCTGGTCTGTCCTGTCCTGTCCTGTCCTGCTGTCCTGTCCTGTCCTGTCCTGCTGTCATGTCATGTCATGTCATGTCATGTCATGTCATGTCATGTCATGTCCTGTCCTGTCCTGTCTTGGCCTGTATGTATCTGCTCAGGGCCAGCCTGTGATCGCGCGTGCTGTTTTTTTTGCAGATAACCCGCATCTGAACTTCCCGCGGCGGCAGCTCAAGTATCAGCAGGAGCTGGGCACTGGCTGGTTCGGCCAGGTGAGTGGGGTCCGGCCTGTGCCTGCCCGCCGGTGCGTCTCCCCGCCGGCCTGTCTCTGCCTCGCCTCCGCCCTGCTCGCCCTGCCCGATAGGCCCTCTAGGCCGCCTGCCCAGCCCGCCCTCCGTCCCTCCCCGTCTTTTCCTCCCCACCCTCCGTCCGTCCCTCCCGGCCGGCCTGTCTCTGCCCTGCCTCCGCTCTGCCTCCGCCCTGCCCGATAGGCCCTCTTGGCCGCCTGCCCGGCCCACCCTCCGTCTCTCCCTCCGCCCGGCTCTGTCCAGCTGTAAATGGGCATGGCGTTTGACGATTGTGCCGTCGCCAGTTGTCTTTGGGTTTGTTGTTTTTCTGTCTGTTGTCCGTCTCCGCGCCGCGCCGTTTTATTGTCTCTATCTGTCGTCCGTCTCCGTGCCGCGCCGTTTTCTTGTCCCTCTGTCTGTTGGCTGTCTCCGCGCCGCGCCGTTTTCTTGTCCCTCTGTCTGTTGGCTGTCTCCGCGCCGCGCCGTTTTATTGTCTCTATCTGTTGTCCGTCTCCGTGCTGTGCTGTTGTGTGGCCTCTCTATCTGTTGTCCGTCTCCGTGCTGTGCTGTTTTGTGGCCTCTCTATCTGTTGTCCGTCTCCGTGCTGTGCTGTTTTGTGGCCTCTCTATCTGTTGTCCGCCTCCGTGCCGCGCTGTCTCGTTCTCCCGTTCTGCGTTGTCTGTACGTCGCCCGCCCGTTTGTCTGTCATCTGTCTGTTGGTCATCGTCTGTTTGTCCGTCTCTCGGCTGTCTGTCCGTCGGAGTGCAGTCCAGAATCCGCCTTGATGAGGGCTCGGAGCTCACACGGAATACCCCGTCGCTTTCCGTATGATGAGATAAAGGATTCAGCAAGCCAGATTCATAACCGTGTTGAGTCTACTTCGGTAAATCCTTCAGTCAGTCTAGCTGAGGCAAATAGAAGATAAAACACAATTCGGAATTCCCAAGCCGGCTTATGAGCGGGGTCATGACCGTTTCCCTCCACGTGGGTGGGCCGCTGCGTTGCCGTTGCGTTTTGGCTCCCCTTTGCATAGTGTGCAGCAAATTCCGCCGCGCCCGTGACTGCTTCGTCTGGAGCTGGCTGGTCACGGCCTGAAGTGACCAGCAGCGGGCCGTAATGCTCAGATAATGACCGCATTGTTTACGTCCGTGCCAAGTGGCCCGATCCGTCCTCATTAGGCGCGTGCCGGGCAGGCGGCGCGGCGGCCGCCGCCCGGTCGGCAGCCGTCACTGCAGCTGCTGCGCGCGGTCACCGGCTGGCCGGCGCGCGTCTGGTCCGACCCCAGAGCTGATCAATCTGAGCCGCGTGCCGGCCTGTCTTCAGTCCCCCCCCCCCCCCGGCTCGGCCTGTGCCGGCCTGTCTTCAGTCCCGTCCCCCCGGCCGCCGACCCGTCCCGTGCTCGCCTGTCTTCAGTCTTCATTGCTGTCCCCTCGGCCGCCGGCCCGCCCCGTGCCGGCCTGCGTTCAGTGCCGTCCCCTCGGCCGCCAGCCCGGTCCGCACCGGTCTGTCTTCAGTCCCGTCCCCCCGGCCACCGGCTCGGCCCGTGCTGGCATGTCTTCAGCCCTGTCTCCTCGGCCCGGCCCGGCCCGTGCCGGCCTGTCTTCAGTCCCGTCCCCCTGCCACCGGCTCGGCCCGTGCCGGCCTGTCCTCAGCCCCGTCCCCTCGGCCGCCGGCCCGGCCCGCTCACCGCTGCCATCTGGCGGCAGCGCTTCCGTCCCCGGCTCAGATGCAAGAGGTGTCAGACACGTGACCTTCGAAGAACGCGCTGCAGGCGCCGGCCGTACATTTTTAAATTCCATCTGGATGTCTGTGTATGTGCTCTCCAATGGGATGCCCTGTGCAGATTGGAATTATTGTCAGACTGTGGGAACGGGACATGACCTGACTGAATTGGTGTGTCACCTCACCATGCATTGAGGAGTGGCTCGCGACCTTACCTTATCTGATTTGTGTCACCAGACATTCCTTGGAAGGCTCGTGACCTAACCTTAGCTGACCTGACCCGTCTGGATGCTTCCCGTGACCAGGCGCTGGTGGAGAGGCTCGTGACCTGACCTGACCTGACCCGACCCGCCGTCATGCTTTCTCTGACAAGGCGCTGGTGGGGGAAGCCCGTGACCTGACCTGACCTGCTGTGTCACCTGGCGCTGGTGGAGAGGCTCGTGACCTAACCTGACCTGACCCGACCCGCCGTCTTGCTTCCTCTGACCAGGCGCTGGTGGGGAGGCTCTTGACGTGACCTGACCTGCCCGCCGTGTCATCAGGCGCTGATCGGGAGACCTGTGATCTGACCTGACCTGACCTGCTGTGTCACCAGGCGCCGGTGGGGAAAGCTGATGATCTGACATGACCCGCCGTGTCGCCAGGCGTTGGTGGGAGGCCCGTGACTTGACCTGACCTGACCCGCTGTGTCGCCAGGCGCTGGTGGGGGAGGCCCGCGACCTGACGGCCGAGCCGCGCACCGCCGTGGTGGTGAAGGCGCTGCGGGCGGGCGCCACGCTGCCCGAGCAGATGTACTTCCTGCACGAGGTCAGTTGGCCCTGCCCCGCACGAGCACGACCACACGCACTCCGGGCCCGGAGAGGGCGGTGACAGGCGCCCGGCGGGACGCCGCTCGACCGCGGGCTGTCCCACTGATGAGCTCGGGGCTTTATGAGCGGCGCAGCACGTTTTGGGGTGGGTTGGTGGGTGGATATGTCTGTCATTGTGACGCGGTGAATGTTTGCCGGCTCTTGTGCTCAGGAGCCGTGGTGATCATCGATTTTGTGTTTTCGCCGAGTCGTAGTCGACGATTTGTCATTGCTTAATGCGCCCGCTGGAATGAATTGCTCGAAATATTGCACGACGTGGCTCTGCTGTCGCGTTGCAACCTTGCATGTTGTGCCTTGTTTAGCAGACTGGAAAGACAGATTATTTGCGTCTAGGGAGCGCCTGAAGTGCTTCGACCGCTTCCGTAGTTGATCAGCGGGTCGCTGGGATACTGTGCCGGCGGCTAGGTAGTGCCGGTCGTATCGGTCAGGTCTGTCGGGTCGGCCGGGTCTGTCGGGTCTGTCGGGTCTGTCGACGGGGCGCCGGGCCGTCTTAGCCGGCCGTTCTCGTCGCCAGATGTCGTACCTGCGCGACGCCAACCATCCGCACGTGCTGCGGCTGCTGGGCCGCTGCGTGGAGGCCGACCCCTACCTGCTCATCCTGGAGCGCTGCGGCATGGTAAGGCGCCGCCGGGTCCGGCCGCGGCAGAGACGGCGATCCTGCTGGCCCGCTGGCCGCTCGCTGCTGGCCACACTCCGCTCGGTGCTCGCTGCTGGCCTCTGGCTGCTGGCCGCTGGCTGCTGGCTGCTGGCTGCCGGACCGGACCGCGGCTGGCTGCTGGCACCGTTGGCTGCCGGCCTGGCTGCCTGGCTGGTGTCAGGGCGGCGGGCAGCGGGGGTCTGGTGAAGCGCTGGCCAATGTTGCGTCCCGTCCCAGCTGATGTGTGGTGGCTCCCAGGGATGACTGGCCGGTGTAAACTGGGCATCAGCCGCTTACAACCATCAGACCGTAACCGCGGTCGCTGTGCACATTTTCTGGTGGTGCCCAGTGGTACACCGATATGCCTGTTGGCTTTGCGCGCTGGAACTGCACGCGGTAGTGTGCCACCACCCGTCATCTGGCTCAGGTGTATCAGCTGTGCCTTGCCGACGCATCCCCCAGCTTCCAGCTGAGTGCTCCATGCTCGCCGCTCGTTGTTTAGAGCCCGACTGTGTCGCGTGCGGTGCTGATTAACGCTGGGAGCCTAATTGGGGTGCGGAAACTTAGGAAGAGGTCTGCCGGCCAAGTGTTGTGTCCGCGCTGCTCATTGGTGGAGTAACGCCGTGTAGTCAGCTGGCGTGGGCGGACTGGGCTTGCCGCTTTCGTTATGGGCGCCACGTGACCTTTGATGCCGACGCGCCCGTAAGTCTCAAGTCATCATCATCATCACTGGCCTGTAGGCTGGCAGAACCACGTGATGAGCGACTGTCCAGCTGTCGCCCCTGCCCGTACGTCACGCCACATGTATTCCGGCTATTGCCGAGCGGGGTCGTAACATACTGAGGAGCCGCAGACAAATGACCTTTTGACGGCCCCAGGGCGACGCCAAGGAGTTCCTGCAGTCGCGGTCTTCGGAGCAGCGGCAGCTCCTGCTGGACACCATGTCGCTGAACAAGATGGCCATGGACGCGGCTTCGGGACTTCAGCACCTGCATGACATTCATTACACGCACAGGTGGGGTGCCGCGGTTGGTGGACGGCGCCGTTGTCATGTCACGGTTTCGTCACAGTGAAGTACTCGAAGCGAATTGCCGCTACAGTTCGTGGCGCCTTACTCGTTGGCAACCCAGTGCCACACCTTATTGCTTTCCTGAGACAAGAAGACAGATCTGACCTTACTCATTGGTAACCTGGCGCTCGTGGTGCGCTTTGGACCTTACTGTTTGGCAACCTGGCGCGACGCCTTATTCACGAGACAAGACAAGATATTCCTGAGACAAGAAGACAGATCCGACCTTACCCTTTGGAAACCTGGCGCTCGTGGTGCGCTTTGGATCTTACTGTTTGGCAACCCGGCGCGACATCTTATTGCTTTCCTGAGACGAGACAAATCCGGGTCGGAGCTGACGTGGCCGGTGTTGCAGTGTTGCACTGACCGGCGTTGCAGTGAACGGTCTGCACCGACCTGTCCAGTGTTGCAGCGACCCGTCTGACCTGACTTGACCGGCGTTCCAGTGACTTGGCGGCGCGCAACTGCCGTATCATGGAGAACTGCACGCTCAAGATTGGCGACTACGGCTGCAGCATCGACAAGTACAAGGTAGGAGCGTCCGCTCGCTGGAGAACGGCGTCCGCGTCCAGCTCGGGCCTGTCCGGCGCCCTGTCCTGGCTCCGAGGGTCATTAGGGGGGCCGGGCTGACACCCTGTCCTGGTACTTAGGGGTCAGCGGCGGGGAGTACCGACACCCTGTCCTGGTACCGAGTGGTCAGCGGTGGCGACCGTCACCCTAGCGGTGGTGCTGACAGCCATGCGATGGCGGGATGACCTGCGGGTTGCGCAGGTTTGTGCTTTTCTGTTGTAGCTCCTGTTTTCAACAGCAGTGCGGTAGTTTGTCGTTAGTTTGTTATGGGGGGGGTCGTTAGTTTGTTATGGGGGGGGGGGGGGGGGTAATATAGCATCGTGCGCACTGTGCTGGCAATTGCTCGAACTTTCCAGGCCAGTACCCCGACCAGACCATTTTACTGCATGCGTTCATTATCCCTTGTGTTGGTATATGCTGCCCGTGATATTTAATCATTAAGATATCATTGTATTCCGCCTTGCCCGTACGTAGCGTCGCGGATGGAGGGCAGTGCTGCATCACCACACACGAGCGCCTATGGAGCCCCGTCCCTCCCGGCTCGTCGGTCATGGTCATTACCGACTCCCTCGTGGACCAACACGGCCACCGGCGCTTAGTCGGCCGTCGATGGCCAATTACCCCCCTCCCCGCTCCTCCTCCTGTGTACACACACACACACACACACTGGGGGAGGGGGCGTTCTTCCGTCGCTCCGCGGCCAGACCACAGCCGGTGGGCGTCCGTCGAAGCCGCGGCGGCGGCGGCGGCGGCGTTGTCATGGCGACGAGCCGCTAATGACGCCGCCGGGCGATTTATTGTGATCATCGGCTGGGCCGGCTAAGGCGAACGGGCGCCTGCCGGCTCGGGAGGCGGTTGACGTGGACGGACGGCCGAGTCTGGGCGCGGCGTCTGATGGCGCGCCGGACCGACGGCGCCGTGACGCCGCCATCGCGGGGGCGCCGACTCGATTTGGCCTCGGTCTGACTCGGTGTGGACTCGGTCTACACTCGGTATGGACTCGTCTCACTCGGCGTGGACTCGGTCTCACTCGGCGTGGACGCGGGTCCTCACTCGGCCGTGGAACGCGGGTCTCGAAACTCGGTGCGGACTCGGTCGGACTCGGAGTGGACTCGGTCGGTCTGACTCGGTGTGACGCGATGGATGGGAAAGATGCTCCGAGGCTGACGCGAGGTTGAGGGGTTGTGGTGATAATTTAGCCAGACCGTTGAAGGTTGACAATCTCGGTACTTTGTCGGCGTTCCTGTCGTGCACGGGGGCCGTGTCCTCCAAGTCGGCTTGATATGGGAACCGGTTACCGCGAGTCCTTGTTCCAATATGCCAGACCTCTGGAAGTCCTCGGCGCGGCCTCAGGTGGTCGTATATGCAGGTCTTTCCGCACGTTGGAATCCAATCGGGTGGGCCGCGCGCCCATTCCACTCCGTCCTGCAACCTGCCAATTGGAACGTAAAAAGGTAAAAATATTGACGTAAAAAGGTGACGGTGTGCGCGGCGTGTGTCACGCAGTATTGCTGCAGGCTCGGATTGGTTCAGTTTCCAACCGATGCGGGATGTCCGCCCCCTTCCTCCTCCCTCGCCCTCCCACGGCGCGGGTAAGTGTTCACCCTGCACAGCGTGCGAAGTGCAACGCACTTTGGCCTACGCAGGTGGGGGTCAGCTTTCGGCCCGTGCGGTATCAATGTGCGGTATCATATGCGGTATCAGCGCTGTTCAGTTTTCAGTTGCTGCAAATGGCGGCCGCATGCTCCACTCCGCGTTTCAGCGGGCCCTCCGCTCATTGGTCACCCTGCGCTCATCTGGTCCGGGTGCCTGCGGGGCCGCCGCGGGCGCTGCCGCGGTCCGACCGAGCCCAGCTCAGGCCCGCGGCGGGTGTGAAAGGGGGGGGGGGGGGGCGAGGGAGGGGACCGTCAGCCTCTGGAGGGCCGCTAATCCCCAGCACGCCGATTGCCGCCGGCCGCCGAGCCGCCTAATGCCGCCGATGGGCCGCCATCACGCTGGCGAAGCCTGGCGACGCGCGGCCGGGGACGAACACGGCTGAGGCCGTCTTACGCGGTCCGAGACCGGCTAACACGGCTCGAGGCCGTCTTACGCGGTCCGAGACCGTCTAACACGGCTCGAGGCCGTCTTACGCGGTCTGAGGCCGTCTAACGCGGCCCGAGGCCGTCTTACGCGGTCCGAGACCGTCTAACACGGCCCAAGCCGTCGAACCGGCTCGAGGCCTTCTTACGCGGCCCGAGACCGTCTAACGCGGCCTGAGACCGTCTAACACGGCCCGAGGCCGTCTTACGCGGCTACAGGTCGTCTAACACGGCCCAAGACCGTCCAACGCGGCCCGAGACGTCTAACGCGGCTCCAGATCGTCTAACGCGACCCAAGTCCGTCTTGCGCGGCCCGAAACCGTCTAACACGGCTCGAGGCCGTCTAACGCGGCCTGAGGCTGTCGTAGCGGCCATAGACCTTCTTACGCGACACCCGTCCGCCGCGGCCCGGACTGTCTGGCAGCGCTCCTCAGACCGTCCCACTGGCCAAAGCCCTGCTGACGCGGCCAGTGCTCTGGTGAGGCAATGGGAGCCGAGCAAGCGTGACCTTAGATCGTTTGACTCAGCCTAGGGGAGCTGAGCAGCAAGTTTTCGGCCGGCGGGGCCTGGGTGCCGCTAAATCTACGGCCAGCTAGCGCGGTCTGGGCTCAGCTAGCGCAGTCTGAACCTAACCAGCGCGTGAACCCAGCTAGCGCGGTCTGAGCCCAGCTAACGCGATGTGAGCCTAGCTAGCGCAGTCTGAGCCCAGCAAGCGCGGTCTGAGCTCAGCTAGGGTGGTCTGAGCCCAGCAAGCGCAGTCTGAGCCCAGCTGGCGGCGACCGATGCTCGTCGAGACGCCGGGGCGCCGTCCGTCTCGGCGGGGCCGGCCGGCGCCCGGCGCTCATCTCCAGACGGCGCGGCGCCGGCAGACGCCGAGGCCGGCCCGGGGACGTCCCGCCCGGCGCCCGGGGCGGTGCGTGACGTCACGGCTGGCGGCCGCTGACGTCACGATCGCAAACTCCGACGTCACCGCCGCCAGTGGAGTAAGATAACGACTCCTCCCGGGCGACGGCGTGTTAGTTG